ACAGAACAATAATAGAATTATATGATTGCATATTAATTATATGTCTGGATCACAAGTCGAAGCTTTCCGAGCGGTACTGTACACTGGAAATAATTAAAGTGGCGACTCGAAGTGGTTACTCGTCACATACAGAATTATATATACAGTTATAGCGTATTTAACACGATATGCATATCACATTAGGGGTGGTTGCAACATATTACGTGTCGCGTATTTCTCACCGCTCGTATTTCTTGCTAAAGCGCAAAATTATCCGTCACATCGAAACTGTATCGAATTGTCTCTCGTTCGTCGCGTTGTAACAGCGCAGCGTCATATGTCGTAATCGAATTGCAAAATGCGATTGGGATTACGATCAGATACGTGCGATTTGAGTCTCGAAGATCAGCCGCCTGATCTTGCCAAATGCATGTAAGATCGAAACGAAGGATTAATTGTTATTAATGTCTCTTTAATTTAAACACAAGACGCATCCACATCACACAAGACAAATCGATAAATTTTCAATTCGCAAAAGTCAATCATTCATATCCATTTAAATTCAAGTTTCCTTTCCAGTCAATAACTAAACATATACAGAAATAATTAATAACTTCGCGTCCGGAGAGCAATCCGCTTTAGCTAAACTATAGTTAATCTTTCGACTTTTTAACATCGTTTTGAAAACTTTAGAAAGATGAAGTTTAATTTGCCTTTACTCGAAAAGTTTGATTCTATATTCTGTTTTGTACTTTATTTTTTTAAAACTTGCGTTAAGTATAATACTTATAATTTATTGTTCGAAAATTTATCGAGTCTTGGACGCATCAACTAATGGATCTCACATAATAAATCATCAAAATTAGAATTGTTTGCAAGCTTCGTGTAGCACGCAATTAATAATAATTACAGTCGACAAGTGGATTAGGACAGCTTATGTGTGCAAGAGGACTTGAATTCTCGCCTCCGAGATGATAGCGAATCAAGTAATATGTAATGGTTAGCGAGAATTATATTAAACTTTAAAGCTTTAAAACTTATATTCTATTATGATTGTCATAAATTATTAAAAATAATAATTTGAAATATATAATATTGATTATGAACGATCAATGCGCGTTATAGATTGTTGACTGAAAGTATAGTTTTTGTCTTTTTTCTACCTTCCTTCCAATTTTTATAAATTACAGTTTTCTGGAAGCTTTCCACCTATTTCAGATACTGAAAAGATATCGTGCTGAAAGGGCGAAGCTATCGAGGTTGAAACTGAAATCGCACGTCACGAAGGAAAATTCCAGTCGCAGAGAGAAACGGCAAAGTTAGAAAGGAAATATCAGCACATTTTCGATGTAAAAATAGTTATGGCTCGCGGACACAGAGACAGCAGCCGTCGCCACACGTCGGTTCTCTTCTTCGTTCCTGTCCGTTCCATTCCGAGGATAGCGGCAAGATCGCCTAAACCGGATCAGGCGCAGGTGCGAGTAGCTGCATGCTGCTGCTCGATTTTGCAATCTGCAATGTCAACGTTAGATAGCACGCTGTATTGAGGACTTATCCCTTATCCTGTGTGTCTGGGAAACTCAACGCTTGTTTAAACTATGCTATATATATTTTTTTTTTTTTTTTTTTTTTTTTTTTTTTTTTTTAAGTAAAAAGATGTCTTTCATTAAGATGATTATTTATTTCTTTATAAAAATAAAGAAGAGAGAAAACTGAGACATGGGATATTTTGTGGTTGAAACGATAAGTAAATCTGAATGTCTCGACAAACCGAGATATAGAATTGAGCAAACCGAAATAAGGAGCAGAAGAAACGTGACAGTTTAATTCAGTCTGACCTGGAAAACGAGGACACATTCGTAATCAACCGGATTAAATAATTTGCACTCAAGGATCTCCCTCGGCGAAAAGAGACAAGTTGAAAGATCAGACGCGCATATTTTCAATTCGAAGAATTTGTAATTGTTATTATTTGTCGTTAAATCTCATTTCCTCGAACTTCGCAGAAAACCACGAAATTTATTCTTACTCGACTATTCCAAACAAATATGTTTTCTATCAATATATATATCTTTTTATATCTTAAATATTCTTGAAAATATTTACAATATTTACAATATTTTCAAGAATATTTAAGATAATAAGAATAAAAAGAGAAATTTAAAAAATTAAAAATTTCCGAATATCATTAATTATTTAAAAATAAGTAGAAGCGATTAAATTAATAATTAAAATTAACAAGAATTAGTTGCTCATCAAATAAATTTTTCACAAGATAGCAAGAAACAACTGTACTTTGCGGAAATGTAGAAACAAAAAAGACAGCAGACAATGGAATTATCAGCGAGTCAAAGAAACGATGTAATTGAAGGGAAGAACTAAAGCTGAAAGGAACGACTTTTTCTCGACGAAGATTCGTACCTGATGTTCCGGTTGCTTGTGTGATTTCCTTGCATACACTTTCAGGACCCTGCAGTTACACGCGACAGAGAGTGCTACTGCCGATCCCTGTAGTAAAATCGTATGATGAGATAACAAACTAGATAAAACTATGTATCATTAAATTACACATCTCAAAGGAAACGTCGCTAACCTAAATTATCTTTAAAAATATAAAATTCTATACATTTAGAGAAACTAAAAATATTTATCTTTTTAAAAATATTACGCAATAGAAGATGCTCTGAGAAATCACAAACATTTTATATTTGTGAACGCCATTAATAGGGAGGATAAGTCGAGGATATTTTTAACATAATATTAAAAATAGAATTCCACTAAAAAAAAGTAGTTAAGTTTAAGTTTAAGTAAATGTTTAAATATTAAAACTCGAGAAACTTTCTTTTTGAACAATTGCATCTATCCTAAATTCTCGACCGCAATTGACGCGATAAAAGATAGGAAGTTAAGAATGAACGAGACGAAACGACAGGACAAAGAGGTGCAATTGGACGCGAGCGGATAAAGTAAGAAGAGAGGTCGGCACGTCTTCCGCCACCATTTCGAGATTCGTCGATCGCGAAAAGCTCCCGCTGTTGAAGAACACTCGACTCGGCAAACTCTTGCTTGCGAGAAGAAATATGGAGGCAGGCTCTCTCTCTATATATATATATATAATGTATGTGTGTGTATGTGTGTGTGTGTGTAGAGGGAGAGAAGTACGTTGAAAAGCCGTTTACGCTTGACGCAAGATCGAACGCGTCAGGGGGTGGAAAGTTCCAGGAACTTGCCGGGAAAGGACGAGGGAAAGAGATTCCGCGCGTTCCTGCGTTTGCCCTTTCGCCTCTTTATGCGCAGTGCGATGCCGAATGTCGTTCAAGACTCGATCGAGATCTCTCAATGTTGGAAATGAAGTCGGTGTAATATCGGGGCCATCGTCAACGAATACCGATCCGTATAGTAATTGGCATATTTGCATTTACAAGAAATCAAATTAAATTTCAAATTTAGCTGGAAATAAATTCTGATCGAACAATGAGAGGGGAGTGTGGTCTGGAATAATGGTCTGAATAATGGCGCGCGTGATGGTCCGCACGTGCATAATGGTCCGAATAATGGCTCAAATAATGGTCCGCATAATAGTTTGAACAACGATTCGGTCTCTCGATGATAATATCCATACGAAAAAACGTCTATATATATATTCCATATATAGTTCATAAAATCAAATTTTTTTTCAAGCTAAAGAAATCAGATGCGGCGAAATACGATGTCACTCGCGAGGAGTTAATGATTTCTCATCTTTCAACGTCAGCTTTCAACGCGCGCTCGTATACACGTGCCATAAATGGTCCATCGAAATGGCGATGAAAAATATTGCGGTCGTATGCGGTGCATCGTTAGGAATGAAAAAACGTAGGAGAAAAAAATGGCGCCTCAGCGAATCTTCCGCCACGAAATTCTTTTTGCATCGCGTATCTCGTATCTCGTCTACGTACCTGAAAACCGCGAAATGATCTGTGCGCGCTCTCTTTTTGCGCTCCGCGTATCTTTCCTCTACATACCTGAAGGGAATGACCCGTGCAGAAAATCGCCCATAGAAAGGGAATTTTCCAAACCCTGGATGCCACCCCGCAGCCGGCGACCAAACCCACGATCAAACTGACCTTCAGAAAGAGCATCAGCTGCAACGCTCGCCTCCTCTTCATCTTCTCGCGCTGCTTTATCTCCAGCTGCATACTGCACGTGTACCTGCGCGTGTGCAAGCGCGATTTACGCGATGTGTGACGTAATTCGTGACCGAGAAAGAAGGACGCGCCAAACTTTCGGGAGGCAATAGCTCGAGAAAGCAAAGTTTAAAATTACGAGTATGAAAAATATGTATAAGTCATTCTTAGAGTAATAAACTGTTTATCTCAGTTTTCACGATTGGAATTTATTTGTTTTGCACTAATAAATGTATACTAAGATTATACTACGTATAACAGAAATATATTATATTCTTTTAGATTATTATCTATTTAATAATTAAATTAATAGTGATTAATATCGTAAAAGTAAGGCATACCTTGACACGATTGCAGCCTTAATGAGGTAGTAACCGGAAATTAGAAGCAGCAGGACAACAGGTATACCATATGCATAAACTGTTGCTGTGGATCCCAAAAACCTAGAATCAATAAGATACATACAAAAAGAGATTAAATATCATTTATAAATAAATAAATAAATTTAGAACTTATCTATTAAATTTAAAACAATTAAAAAATTTTATTTTTATAATTATACAGATAAAATATTTATCGCATTATTATAAATAGATTAAGCTAAACTGAAATTGATTTAAAATTTACTTATCAAAACATATTGCAATTTGGAGAGATAAACGCTATTCATATTAATTGTATTACATATCAATTTTTAAATATTGACAAATAAATCGAAAACATGTGTGTCAAATAAAATGATTAAAAAATATCGCGTAGCTAAAAATATGACTCATTGTATAAAAATTCAATTCGGCATTGCAATTCTTATGAAACAGGAAAAACGTGAAGGAAGGTGGCGAAAATATTTATCAACTCCCGTTTATTAGGTCTCATCTATAAATCATATACGTACGCGCAAGGAATATCCAAACTCTCATCGTTTTCCTCGACGAGAACAGATTGGGTCAAAGAGTGTCTACAAAACGTGCGATTTTATCGCGAGGTACTCTGGCGATATCGAACACCCATTTTCGGCACTCGCCTACTTTGCACATGTCGGCAGTTCAATTTTTATACGTGCAAAAGAATATTTCCTGCCGTTTATTTTCCTCGATTGTATCTTAGATATTCAGAAGTAGAAACGAAGCGAAACTGAGACGAAAATCTCTCATTCTTTTTTAAGAATTTCCAAATTGAAATTACGTTTGCGCACATGCAAATATAGTCATTTCTGAATATTTTTTAAGTAAATTCAAAATTTTACAGATTTAGTTATTTTCATAAAGATTTAGTTATTTTCTGCGATATTCCATCTCGCAAAATTTTAATTCCATTCTGTCTTTAATTTTCTACGATTTAATGCCTCTTTTTAATGCCTACAGCAATTAGAAGAACTGAAATTATTACAAGTGTTACTATTGCTCTTGCCACAATTACGCCAAGCTCATCTTCTTCTTGAAATCGCCGACAGATTAAAAGTCAGATTAGATCCTTAATATCTACGTCAACAATCTTGAATTATGACATAAGAAAAGAGGAAAAATATGTGCATAAATCTTAAAAGTTGGATGCATTCACGCGAATGCATTTTGCAGTAGAAAATTGCTTTCGCGATAACAGGCTCGCAATGTAATAAAAATTTTAAAAAATATGACATTTGCAATTATCACTAATTAATATTAAATTATTTTAATGCAATATAAAGAGATTTAATATACTTAATTGCTTTTTTTTCTTCCAAAATATTTAATATTTTCAAAATTAATTCTTTCATATGATTACTTTGCTATGTTAAACGAGAAAATTCTTGATTTAAAAAATTTTAAATTTATTAAATAAAATCAATTAATGTAAATTTTTACGTGCAATGAGAATGCGCTGAAATGAAAAAGAATTTGTAAATAAATTCCATGATATTCAACGTAACTAATATTACAAATTAATATCGTAAAGCAAATAATATTTTGGAAACCTTTTTGGCACGAGCAAAGGAAAATATAGGATATCTACCTACGCGCAATGATACACGATATATATGCTCTTCGAATACCTCGCTTTGAAAAATAGCAAGGATCTCATTCGAGTTCGGTATTCCGGTTCACCGTCGTTGGGTGAATCTGATTTAACGAAAATTGGTCGTTCGACGGAATTTCGCCGTGGGACAGAGACAGGTGCAAAAAGAGACGAGGATAAAGGAGAGAGAGAGAGAGAGAGAGAGAGAGAGAGAGAGAGAGAGAGAGAGAGAGAGAGAGAGAGAGAGAGAGAGAGAGAGAGAGAG